CGCAAGCTCCTGTGGAAGATCTCAAAAGTGTCTCACATACGGTAGGTACACTTTGAGCAACTATATTATTTTGAGAACTTTCCAACAGTCGTGGCTGGCTGAGTTTGGCTGAGTTTGGTTTGTTATCTCGTCATTTCATTAGAAAACCGTGTTGCTTTGTTATTTTGTCACGTTCATCGTCATATAGCACGTACAGCCAAGCCAAGCTATGAAGCAGTGCCGTCGCTCCACATATTCAGAGTATAGTCATCACCTTTCCGGTCACGTTGCTTCGACACGAAAAACTTCCAGTATTAACGAGTGTGTGATGATCTGTTCGAGCGAATCTCGCTGCAAAAGTGTAAACTTCTGTTTAAAATACTATTCATGTGATTTGAATGATGCAAACAAACATACTCACCCAGGGGATTTTGGTCCGAAGGAGGCATCAGTTTATACGAACAAGGTATGGCATTGACGAGTTCTATAAAAGAAAATAAAAGTGAGATTTCTTCTCTGGTTCAACCTTTTGTCAAAACTTTGAGAAAAAATACACTTCCGTTTTCAGCTTCGTTGCTTCAGGACATAACCTTGCAGGACTTGATTCTAACATAACCTTGCAGGACTTGCATTAAGCACCGTGGCTATGCTATGAGTTCAAACACTTTCAAAGGATGCTAGTTCACATTGACGCAGTGTAGATGGAATATCTGAACCGGTTCCATCAACAGTAAACTGCGGTAATCCTTCCCGAATAAGACTAATCTTATTCTTAAAAATGAATTCAACTGATCAGCTAAACTAGCATCAGATATTGGATGTATGATATTAGGGTTCAGAAGATTGTTGATGGCTTGAAAAAGAATTGCTGGTTTCCACAGTTATTCTCAGTAAGAGAGCAAAAATAAATTCCTTTGGCATTGCGAACCAAATCATTAACTAATCAACACTGATCCATATACAAACGATTGCTGAGGTCACTCCTGGTGGTAATCCATTTTCTGCTTCCAGTTTTCTTCTCAACTTTTTCTTCGATCTCATCTCCTCAGTAAACCTGGGCGCACGCAGGTGAAGAGTAACAGGCTTGTAAAAAATAGATGCCTAAGGGTCATTTAATGAACGAAGCGTAGAATCGTAACGGTGGACAGACACAAATAATCAGTGGTGACCGAAAACAACTCAAAGTTACTTTTACGCGTATTTATCAAGTGTTTGTTTCAAAATTGTTAGGGTTTAGACTCTCGTCACTTAATAGTAGGCAACGAAACACCTCTTAGCATCACAATCAAATCTACGTCTGTGTCCTTTCAGGAACCTTTAGGGTCGATATGCTATGAAGTGATGGCATTTTCTTGCATACAGTATTTTATCAGGTAAATTTCTGATACTCATTCATCTGAACATTAATCCTTGATATTTTACTCTTGGACTTATCTTTTTCCAAATTATTGACTGCTTCTTTTTTATTTATCATTTTGTTCATTATGCGTATCTGAAAAGAGATTTCTTTTTATTTGAAGTCAACTTCAGCATGTCATTTCATTCAAAATTACCTCATGAATAAAAGTGCCGAAGCTGGAAGGGGTTCAAATTCATTTAAAACCAATACATTAAACTCTAAATTGAACAAAAAATTTCTCAAAAGAAAAATAAAATCAGTTGGAATATTGCAAACAATATCAACCAAAACGCCTTCCTCAAATCTCTCCTCCTTTCCCTTGGTGAAAGAGCAACATGTTGAGAGTAAGAACATGAATCGGCGAGTGGTTAATTTATGAACATGAAAAAGTTAAATAAGCTAAACATGACCATACCGTAAGATAGTCTCGCTTTTTCTTTCTTTTAAGACACCCAGTGGACCAAACAGATTCAACTCAGGATGTCATCGGGGAAAGTAAGTGAACTACTTTCTTTTTCCACTAATCGTGTAGATCGCTACACATCATTTTTGTCTCTTGTTTCTTGTGCAGTAATGTTAATTGTAGTAAAGTTTTGCGTGCGCTTTCTTTATGTCATTACGTTACGTAGCATGTATTTAAACACGAAGGCGCGCTATAAAAGGCATTAGCTCCTCCCCCTAATTTTGAATTCACCCAAAAAAATTAAGATGGCGGACGATGAGGAGAATCGCAACGAACACTTAGCATTTGTTATACACGTGAAAAGAAATAAAACATACCCAGAAACGGTCGAAAAATATCAGTAGAGTTATGTTTCTGTGATTAGTTTTGTTTGGAGTACAATATTTCCTCGTTTCGTGTAAAAAAACTTGCGTTATTACAGTTGAATTCGAAGAGCCCACCAGGCTATCCGTGGGGCTATCTTTGTCTATTGTGAGTTTTAATTTCACCGGTGCAGTGGTAAGCAGTGTTCCAGTGAATTTATGCGCCAATATGCTATATATTTGAGGCCGGATCGAGCAGTGACGCGAAGGAAATAACCTTCAATTCGCTTTGAAGTTGACTTTGATAATTTCTGTTAGTGTGAGACCTTTTGTTGAGGTTACTCTACGATTGGACTCGGAAAATGGAAAGCTTTCCCCCTCCAGATAAAAAGAAACGTACAGAAATCAACAAACATGCAAATGCACGGCGAGATCCAGCGGAACGAAACCCACATTTCAGTCTCACAATTGAAGTCAAAAAGGATCAGCAAAGTCGTTTGGAAGCTATCAAACAGAGGCTAAGCAACGCTAAATCGGCTCTTGGTATAGATAGAAAGTCTTCTACCACGCAAAATGCTGATTTAATAGAAAGACTCCTCTCG